GTGGGACTTTTTTCCCCTTTGCTAAACTGGGCTTGGGCATTGCCAGCACGCGGCACATCCGGTTTGCAGGCCTGAAGTTTGACAGCCCTGTGTTGTTGTTTGATGTACCTTATATCAGTGATCCACAACCTTTTTTATGCCGCGGCCCGGTATCCCCAACCTTTTTTATGGCGCGGCCCGGTACCGGCATTAGCTGGGCGCCGCCATCTTTTTTTGATGAAAAAGTGCTTCTGATGAGCTTTCTACCCGGAAAAGCTCACCGGAAGCACTTTTTCATCAAAAAAATATGGCGGCGCCCAGCAAGCCAGCGGCCCGGTAGGACTTGTTCCACGGACCGGTACCGGTCCGTGGACCGGTGGTTGGGGATCACTGGCTTACAGGGTTTCCCCCCCGCCCCCCCAAATAATGCTTTGTAAGCTAATGGAATGATGTTGGCTTACATATTAGAGAGCTTCTCAAGGTCCCATTTGCATCATAAGTTTACTCCAGTTCCATTCAAACATTCATTCGTCTTTTCCTCTCTACCTAAGCCACCACATCCTTATGCACCAGCACTAGTCTGCTAGTGCTTTTAAGTCGAGCACTTCAGATACTACAGGTAGTCCTCAACTTACAACAGTTGAGTGACCTTTCAAAGTGACCATAGCACTGAGAAATATGACTTATGACCGTTTTTTCACAGTTGCAACCTTTGCAGCATCCCTGAGATCATGTGATCAAATTTCAGATACTTGGCAACTGGTTTGTATCTGTGACCGTTGCTATGTCCCAAGGTCATGGGATTCCCTTTTGCGACCTTCTAACATGCAAAGTCAATGAGGAAGAAAAATTCACTTAACAACTGGTCTACTAACTTATCAACTGCAGTGATTCACTGAACAACAGTGGCAAGGAGGTCGTAAAATGAGACAAAACTAACTTAACAACAGAAATTTTGGGCTCAATAGTGATCATAAGTTGAAGGCTGTCGGTATTTTTGTTAGGCAAACTGGAAGCTTGAAGATCTGTGCAAGCATTTAAGAGCTTCATGTGTCTTTGTTGCACAATTATATTGTCTGTGAATTCAAAACCTATTTAGGTGGCTGCTTTAAATAGTCTTTCCTTAGTACTCATTTAAATCTATTTGTCTATTTGAAATCTTATCTATTACTTTGGTAGATTTATTCCTTGGCTTATTATCTCCCCCAGCCTTGTTTTATAAAGATAATTTTGCAGCCACATAAGATTTCATTGCCTCATTATTCTCTTCCTCTTAAATGTCTTTAAATGTATATTAAACAAATGATTTGCGTTGATCTTTAGGTAATTTCCTATTAAATTATATTTAGTAAGCAATTTAAACATTATTTGTGTTCTTTTTTTTTCTTTGTTTCCTTCTTTCCTCCTATGTCTGATTTTCAAATGAGATTTTAGCTGAAAGGCTTGCACTTCGTGGATGTAGTTAATATCTGTTCTTAATTATATTATGAAAAACTTTATCCCCAAAGGTTTCAGTCTTTAGATGCTACGGTTTATAATAGTTTATAACCAAGAAATAAATAAACAAATGCTGCCTAACTTCAACCCAATGATCTTAATGAACATTTTTAATAAGTAACATGTGACCTTTATTCCATTGCCTGGTACCTTCAGATTGAGTTTTGGAGTTCTTGCTTCTGAGCCATTGCCTGTAGGTTAAGAAACCATCTTATATAATATGATGGCTAAATAGACTTGATCACTTTAGGAACAAATATTGCCTTATTTCCTGAAGAGGGAAATCCAGCCCTTGAAAGTCATGATATTACATAAAGATGATGTTTTGAGATTCAGTTGCAAACTCTCACTTTGCAAAGTGCATCTGTCTTTGTCTTGTGTGCTGTACAAGTGTAAGATAACTATACTTTTGGAATTTATGCCTAGATAAAAGTTGTGTTTGGCTTTGTTTGCTTTATATTTGCATTAAATATACACTTAATCATGTCTCAAAACCTACTTCAGAAGTTGTCAGTGTCTGTCTGACCTTGTCTGCTATCAGATGGTAAGGAAGATCAGGCTTTTTTGGGACCTGGATGGACAATCTCTCCATAATTTGTTGTAAGCACTGCAGAGTGGTTTAAGATAGGTGACCATAATATCTTTTAAATACAGTACAGTTGGAAACTACACTGAAAAAAATTATCCCCGTTGTTGCAAAAATAGTACATCTGTCTCAACTCAATGACTACTCAAAATATGTAAGTTCTACTCCTCCCATTGCACAGCAAATCTTTTGATTGAAATAGTTTTTATTAAATGAAGATTTTCCAAAGATTTTAAAAAGTATGGAAATAATATAAGAAGAAATAGAAAACAATTATAAAAGGGTAAAAGAAAAAGTCAAGACTAAAGAAAAATGCAAGAAAAGGAAAGGTATCTAAAGAAATGTCTTCAAATCCTCTTTGTAGCATTTACAAACATATACAGGTAGTTCTTGTTGTGGTTCGCTGGCAGCCTGTGCAGATGGCAGCGGAATCGGACAGTGGAGAAGAAAGGGGATTAGTCTGGGAGTCTGGAGAGGACTCAGACGAGGGTCTTGCATCCAATGTAGAGATGGGGCCAGGACCATCTGGGAGTGGGGTGCTTTCTCCGGAGCCTTCGGAGTCTGACAGTAGTAAGGCAGAGGATCCAGGGGAGCCTGTTCCCAGTGCACATGTGCGTAGAGCTGCTGGAAGGCGAGAGCAGCTGAAACAAAAGGGGCGACTCGGGAGTAAGGCTGGGAGGTGATTGCCCCTCCCATAAGGGATAAAGGACAGGCAAAGGTGACAGCTGGGTGACAATTAGCCGTGCTGCGTGATTTAGATGAGCTAGAAAGCAGGAAATCATCATACTTCTTGCTTTCTAACTAATCTAAATCACATGGCACAGCTGATCCCCTCCCTGCTGTTGTACTTACCTCAGAAGGATTCAAAATGGTTCTTTTTTCAGTGCCCAGGAGGCTTCCTGAGGCCCAAACGGGGCGTGTGGGGGGTGCTGTGAAAGAAAAAAAAGACTTTTGACCCCCAGTCACATGACCACCTGGCCATGTCCACTTAGCCACGGCCACCTAGCTACACCCACAGAACCAGTAGTAAAAAAATTTGAATCCCACCACTGGAGTTAGCAAGTATCCAAATTTTGATCATGTGACCACAAGGATGCTGCAATGATTGTGCGAAAAATGGCCATAAGCCACTTTTTTCTAGTGCTGTTGTACCTTCAAAAAGTCACTAAGCGAATAGTTGTAAGTCAAGGTTGTAAGTCAAGACTACCTGTAAGTCAAGACTACCTGTACTACTCTAGCTTCCCAGATAACATATTATAGTTCCTTTCTTCCCATGAACAAACCTTTTTAATCAATAAATCCCCCAAACAGCAGTTCATTTTTATCCATTTTCAGCAAAAATTCTTTAAAGATTTCCACTCTTTTTCATAGCAAGCTCGTGCGTATGATCTGAAGCTTGGAAATAGAATTGTAACTAATCAGCTGCATGTTATTTCCCGTGAATGAGTTTTTATCCATTTTGGAAAGGTGCTTGACAGAGGTGGTATTCAGCGGGTTCTTACCAGTTCCGGAGAACCAGTAACGGAAATTTTGAGTAGTTTGGAGAACTGGAAGATACCACCTCTGACTGGAGATTTTACAGTCTTCTTCCCATGCCACACCCACCAAGCCATGTCCACAGAACTGATAGTAAAAATATTTGAATACCACCACTGGTGCTTGAGTTATTTTCTTGGTGCAACAATCTCAAGAAACTGAAGTAACAGAGCCCAAATCATTTACTTATCCTTTTTGTGCACTAAATGATTTTCAGTGAGCATGAATTAATTGTGGTTCTTCCCAGAGCTAATGTTCAAAAGTGTCATCCAATTAAGAAGTAGAAAAAGGTAAATTGTAAATTGTGAAGCCTAACTACAAGAATTATGTGATCAATTTCTGTTCATGCCTGGAAGGAATTAAGAGATGAACAAGTGTTTTAATTTCTCTATCCTTGGTGAGAGCTGAGAGATTAGCTCTGCTTGTTTCTAGTGAGGAGCAAATTATATTTGAGATGTTCCCAATATAGCAGGGGATTTTTTTATTAACTCTCCTTGTTCTGATTTTTTTTTTAAATCTGAAGGCAGATTCTTCAGTGGTTATTCAAGCTTACCCAGTCTTTTCAGAACCACCATTCATCTCTTTGATGCTAGACTGTGTGTCGAGGACATTTTAACTCCAATTACAGTGGTGGGATACCACTGTAGTAAAGAGATGAATTATTTTTATTATCTTCTAAATTAGTTGACAGCTCTGCCTTTCCAGTTTAATTGGATATTGTTTCAGCATATCTGACAATGGCATGGGTGAATCTAACTACTATATTTTATCACCTTTCTGAAAATTAAAAACCAAGCTGGTGCTTAAAGCCTTGAAATGAGGCTGCTTCAAACCTCTTCCTTGACGTTTGATCCGGGACAAGGAAAACATCTTTTGGGTTTGCCACTTAAGCTTCTACGTCACTCTAGCAACAATCCTAATAGGAAAACTGCATACATGCATAGCCCTTTAAAACAGCCTGCCAAGAAGACTCAATACAGTAGTACCTTGGTACTCATTCTTAATTGGTACTGGGAGGCATGATGAGTACCAAAGACAATGAGTACCAAGCAGATTTTTCCCATAAGGAATAATGTAGTGAATCACAAGGAGGACGACACTGACAAGTTCTAACTTGTGCATTGAGTACCAAACAAACAATGAGTATTGGGACAACATATGTATGTCAAAATGGGTTAAGTACCAGTTTCAAAGCAGTTGAGTACCACTGTTCTTGGTGATTTCAAGGGTCAGATTTAGAGAGGGGCTTCAAGAAATAATCCTCCAAATGATTTTGCATAGACCATTCATAGAATTAAAAGTTTAAGGCACCAGGCTATAAACTAGGAGACTGTGGATTCTAGTCTTGCCTTAGGCACAAAGCCAACTGGGTGACTTTTGGACAGTTGATCTCTCTCAAATCTAGGAAGCAGGCAAGGCAAGTCACTTCTGAAATCTTGCCAAGAAAAGTTCACCAGGATTAAAAGAAAAAAAGTATACAATGAATGGATGGTAGGTGGCCATAATTATTATGTATCTTTTTATAAACAAGGACAGCTGTCCCTGAAGAAGTGACTGGGATAAAAAAAAACCAGGGATGATGGTAACAATCAATTCTTTTTCTTTTTGCAACATTCCCGTTCCAAACTCTGCTAGGTGAACTATTGGGGTGAGGAGATTTGAAAAAGAAAAGGGATCACACCTCATCTCTCTGACGGAGATAATTTCTCTGTAAAAGGTGTTTATGTCCTATTTTTAAAAGGGTATATGAACAATGTTACACTTTCTTAGGTCTTATCTATTTGTGTTTTTTAGATGAACTGATGCAGGTGTTCTTCACAGCTCTGTGTGTTCTTTAAATTCTGTAAAGCAATTCTGTACCATTCACATGTGTATAACAATCAGGAAGGCAACACAGCCTTAAGTCAGATAATTCTAAAAATATTCTTGCAAGTTTAATTTAGTTTGAAAGTCCATAGGAATCAAAATTAGAAAGCATATCCTATTGAGAAGGAGACACAAGTGGACTTTTGCTAGGGACAACGTAAAAGTTTAGGAAGGCAAATCAAAGTAACACTGACATCAACACTTTACTTGTAAGCAGCTACAAAACTGGAACACTCTGAATACTCCCTAACTTTGGCAATCTATACAGGCAGTCCTCAATTTACAAACACATTTGAGCCCAAAATTTCTGTCTCTAAGCGAGACAGTTGTTCAGTGAGTTTTACCCCATTTTACAATCTTTCTTGCCACACTTAAGTGAATCACTACAGTTGTTAAGTTAGTAACACAGTTGTTAAGCAAATCTGGCTTCCCCATTGACTTTGCTGGTCAGAAAGGGGATTAGATGACCCCAGGACATTGCGGCCATCATAAATGTGAGTTGGTTGCCAAGCATCTGGATTTTGATCTTGTGACCATGGAGATGCTGTAAATGGTCATAAGTGTGAAAAACGGTCATTACAGTAAACCAGTGCTGTTTTCAGTGCTGTTGTAACTTTGAATGGTCACTAAATGAATGGTTGTAAATTGAGGACTCCCTTACTTTTATTTAGAGCTGAACAAACCAATCTGATTCAGACAATAAATGTAAGCTGGTCATGCTATCTCGCTCTGCCAGGTTGGTATACTGGTCTATGATCATAATAAAGATTTGATTTGAACCCCAGGCTGATGATTAAAATATGATTAAATCATTGGGCTATTGTACTCTATCTCCATAATACATTGTTCCTATTGCATTTGAAAATATCTACAAGGAAGCTCCCAAATGTGATTTAAGCAGTTTAGTTCTTGGTACATGTTGTGTTTTTAAACTCTAGATTTGATTGCTTTATTATATTTTTGTTAAATTGCATTGGGCTTTATTGTGTCCTTCCTATAAGTGGGGCCA